GAGGGCAACAAAATTAGATGTCTACTGATGTTTCAATGTAGTGTTGGTCATATTGACCTCTTGGGAAAGAATGGAAAAGAAACTATTTGCCATCATATAACATGTATGATTGTCAAATATGACAAGATCATTTATTGAAGACTCATAGAAAGCAAAATAAGGGAGGTCAATTGAGGAAAACAGTTGCCGTTCTGTTGAATAATTCGATATATCCCAATGGAAAAAAATATAGTCAAATATAGACGTATAACCATTAGGTTAATATGACGGTTTTATAATGAAATATACACTTTATTTAGCTTATTTTAACAGAAATCAAGTGTATTTATCATTTATGAACGTTTCTCGACCAGAAAATGAGATTTCTAGAGAGAGCTGATTTTGCTGCTTAACGTTTTCCTTCATTTACTATGTGCTTGTTGATAATTGGATAAACGAAAATTATTATATATTATTTTTAAATTATATTCACAATAAAGTTCTAGATGACCAAATTCTAGATATACTTTCTACACGTTTAACTAGTTTTTCTTTTAAAATTTCTTTTCAATGTAATAAAATATCATTGAAGCCTTCCCTTCCACATTAGTAGTTGTTGAAAACGAATAATTAGCAATATCACAAGCGATGATTTATCCATTATTTCATGGGATAAGTAAATTAGTTAATGATTGAACTTGAAAAAATGAACTGATCGGCGAAGATAAGCTAAATGCTCAATATTCTGAATCATATAAATTCATTGTTTTATGTAGAGAATTTAGTAATAGCATTTTCATGTATTAAGAGTTTTTCAGACGGACTTATGCTAAGAGACGTGAGGAATACCAAAAACAAACAGGTCTTCACCATTCGTTTGCTATTGTATGTCTCGACTAGTGCACTTCTTTACCGTAGGTCGATATTATTACTAGTGAATCGTACACCGATATATTGGGGAATGAGGGACCTACCGTCAACCTGGATCTCTAGTTGTACATGAATATTCTTGCACAGTCTTGTATACAAAGTTAGAAATTTAATGCATAAAAGATTTAAAGGTAACACAGAAGATAAAGAAATCTGCGGAAAATCTCATGTTTTATTTTACTTTCTATGTGCTATAAATATAAGACAATAAAGAGAAAGGAAAGAAGTAGCTAGTATAAGAGAGATACAGAGTGCAAAGAAGTGACATGGAAAACATTCTTTACATCAGTCATCATTCCATGTAATTATTACATGTCATTTGGGAAGCAGCCATCGTCTAAATGACATATAAATCTAATCATTGTACCAATTCGAGTTAATTTGTGATATATTACGTTTACGACCGATGCGAAAGGCAGTGCCATGAGTACAAAAAAAGAAAGATGACATTTGAGAATAGTTATACTATGCAAGACATTAATAAGAAAAAATCAAGCAACTCATGCAGTAGAAGATAGTATGTATAATTATATAAGGAAAGGTGCAAATAGAAAAGAGAAGAAAATATATTAACATAATACATATAATATCCGAGCTGTTCATTCACATTAAAATTCATGCGTATCTAAACATTATTGCAGTAAGATAAGTATGAAGAATTGAAAATTGATCAGAAACTGAATCAACTAAGAAAAATTTCGTCAAGAAATCTTATAGTCTACTTAGGATAGATCAAAAGCTTTGGTAATGTGGTTGATAATTATATAAATGATTAAACATTAAAGAGTTGGTTGCATTAATAAATGATAGAATGTTTGATCTGTAATAATACAGATAATAATTCTATTTTATATTCAGCTCTAATATTCTTTCAGATAGCATCCAATCTCAACTACAAAAAATTATTAAAAAAGTGAATCATAAATTCATTCGATACTATATTAAAATTCGGATTATTTGGTAAATCAATGCAAAGATAATTCACAAAGAACTCAAATCAGCATTTGGTGACTAATACTTCGACATTTCCAATAGTTGCAAGGTGAACAAAATGTTTTAATGAAGAAAGAGAAAATATCAATGATGGATATTGATCTCATCTTTCGGTTTTCAAGCCTGCAGATGTAAATATTGAGTTGGTACGGTAGATTATCAACAATGATCAGCATTCAACTTACGATGATATTATGGCTAAGACTTCTCTCACTTCTATTACAATAGAACGAATTATCGACAATGGTTTAAACACAAGAAAAGTTATATCGAATCAAAAATGAATACGAATAGAAATGAATTAAAACTTCTTGTAAAAATTTAGCAACATTTCGTAATAGGCCATGACAAACATGCAATATTATTATAGACAACTAGACATGACGTTTACTATAGACAGACTAGCTGCAAGATATCTATTACTTGAAAAGCAACCAAATGAATATGAATGAACAGTTTGAATATCGAAATCTATCCTGCTAAGATTATGCTTTGAGTAAGACTGACTGCTCAGAATCGAAATTGAATGAAGGTGGAAAGGCAGTCCATTTGCACTATTAAAAGTAAGAGGAGCTCTTTCTATTTTTTTAGAATTATATTTAATTGTATTACTCATTGTGATAATTGTTACTGTTGCTGTCATAAAAAATATAATCAGATATAGAGATAATTAGTTCGCACAAATATTTTTATGTGATATCTTACTGTTGAAATACAGATACAATAAAATTGATAGTTATTCTTCATATTAATGTTAATTTTTTTTGTATGTTAAACAAATAAGGTTTTCGTTTATATTCTAATTCTTATATCAGTTTTAGTGGTTCTTCGGAACGAATGTCAAATGATTTGATCTATCGAACACTTCCATCAAGATCCGATCATCAATCTACATGTTAAGTGATTCAATGACCATCAATACATAACTATATACAGGAAAGGATCTATGAAAAGAATTATGAAGGCAAAGCTTGCAACTAATTAAAATATCCATTTGTTTTTGACTACCTCTTAGTTCTTAGTGAGAATCAGACCGATTTAACTGCAAGTTTTGTCGTAGCTAGAACATAGAAAATAATGAGAAAAGTGTCCCTTGTTGTATATTTCCATTCAATTCCTTTGTATATGATTAAGATAAGATATTAAAAGCATTTTTAACGAGTTTTAAAAATCTACCTTGCTGCTTTCTTATTAACTAAATATCACGGCTAACTCATCATTGACATTCAAAAGTGTCTTAACTATTTCGAGAAAATTTACAAGCATTATGTCTAGTAACAGTTTCAAACTAATCAAACAAAAAAAAAGAAAATCGACAGTAGAGACCAGATCAAGACATCTCATATTTTAAATAACATTTATTGACTAAAACAGTTCTCACTATAATTATTATGCAGAAAAAGATTTCAAATCGATAATTTTGAACTAGTACTCTAGTTCGAGTCGAATGATCAAAATAGCATGAGATAGCCAATACCATTTGGAAATGTTTCCGTGATTTTATCGAACAAGTTAGATATTTTCTTTCCAACAGAAGACAAGAGAAAGTTTCGGTTCTATGTAAGAAAACCGAAAGCTTCTCACTATTGGAATGTTGTGATATCTAAAGCATCTTTCTTTATTGATCGAGCCAGTCCTACGAATGAAATTCTGCAGTTCGGCTGTTTGATCAAACAAGAATCAAAAGAATGCCTTAGATATAATTTGCGTAGATAGCTCAAAACTTATAATTTATTACAGTTATCGTAGTAAAGTTGTCAAAAAAAATGGCATAGAAAGATCATGGAAACAAGGATATGAGTGTGTAGAGAGCGCGTACTTTCAACTTTTAAAATATTGTATATGCATCCCAAAACTTTACGAAAGATGTGTCTAGCATTTTCCCATCCACATCCAACTTGTTTCCTTCATCAAATTCTTGCGTTGGAATATATTTCAGAAGTTTTTTAGCTTTCTTTAATGACAAGTACAAAAACCATTATTTCATCATCATCATCATCATCATAGAATAACTTTTATTTATCTCTACTTTTAAGAACGACCATTTCGACAATCGGAGACAGTGTATTACTGAATTAATTCTCCTCTTCTTTCACTATAATCAGTCAGCTCGTTTTATGGATCGTCTTTATGCTAGCAAACGATCATTGTTTCTTCTACTATTTTTACCGTTTTACGAGCTGACAGCAAACGGTGACTCAATAACGCCAGTTTCTGTTGTTTTACATTGTTTATGATCATTACAAGCGGTACTTTCTTGGGCCTGAGTTTCCAAATATGGCCATAAACCTAGAATTCAATTACAAGTTCTCCAAAGTGTTTTTTTTTCATCGATGGTGAAAACAACGATAACTGATGACATCTATATAACTCGCCTATTCTACAGATCTTTTTCATGTTAAACTAACTCAGCGTAAACAACAATAAAAAGTGATTAAGCCATTGTTTTTTATAAAACAATTTTACTCTTTCCTATTTTTACCGCTTTACCTTTGTTATCACTTAATAAAATGATAAAAAAAACATATTTATTTAGATTCCTTCACGTTTTTATAATTTTGAATTCTTGTATATAATAAAATTAATTATCTAGTTGATCGTTAATTTCATCCGAAATCAAGCTAAACTTGAACATTTCAGCGAAGAACAAAGAGAAAATTAAATTAATTATAGAAAACAACAATTCTGTCATGTAATGATGTCAATATAAGAAAAAAAACAAATTAACTAATCATACATTCTGTATTCTATCAATAGCTACTCCTATTCTGTAGAATTTTATTTGTTACAAATAACCGATTCAGGTATCATTTTTTTTCTTCATTTTCAATCTGGACACACATTGCTTTGATTTTTTTTCTGCCGCTTCTTTTTCTACTTTTCGCTTTTTTTTCTGTTCTCTTTTTTTTTTCATGGTGTCTGTGTGTTTAGCGTTCTGTTGCATAATGCAGTAATAGAGTAGAAATAACCGAGTGCATAGAGTACATGGCCGTAATATAACGGCTTTTTTTTCTCTATTTCTAGACCATTACATTAAGTCACGTTGTCATTTAAAATATTTCGTCAACACTTTTATTATTAATTCATACGCCTCAAAAATGAGCAATACGCATCACGATTCTCATAAAAAAAGTACGAGTGTTCTAGAAAAACTTGGACAAAAAATATCAAATATTAAAGAAGATATTGCTGATAATATAGAACGTCGTAAGCATTCTCATAATAATACTAATCAAACACATGTTACAACACGAGCAAATATGACGGATGAATCAGTGGTTATTGACAAGAAACCTTCAATAGCATCCGAAAACCAATCAGGAAGAAAATATGGTAAGAACAGAAAAAAAGTATATTCACATTTGATAAGAGAAACAGAGATAGTATAGTATTATATTCTTTTACATTTATCGATTCATTTGAATATATGATAAGAAATGGAAAACGACGACGATAACAGTAAATGTATGTTTGTTTGATTACAAAGTTATTTTTTATTAATATACAAGATGATATAATAGTTTTTGTTTTTCGATAATTTGAAAGACATTGTTTTTTTATTTTATTTTTCTAATAAATAGGTGATGACAATCCAAATACAGAACATATGTATTCAATATCAAAATTGGCAATGAATTTTGGGAAAAGGCCAACAAATGATACATTAATCGCTGCAACAGCTGGTATGGTTCATAATGATTCATTTCGTTTGTCTCAAGATATATTTTCAACGGTTAATTCTGAACAAGCTAAGGATATGATAATGAGTGATATACGTTATGGACATTATCGTAGTCAAAGTCGACCACCAAGTGAAAGTGGTCTAGAAGACTATGTTGTAAATAAAACAGATTCTGTTGATATGACAACACAACCTACACCTGTACTTATTGATCAAAATGCACAAAAATCAACAATGCTATTAGCTGGACCAAAATTTCGTTATCATACTGTTGATCCTGAAATACAATTAATGCGAGATATAATTTATCCGGTTTCGGTAAAATATTTTTCTCTCTCGGTTTTTAATTAATAATTATTCTTGTATTGTTATTATTATTATTATTAGGGTGTTGTTGGATTTTTGGCATTAATCATAACATTATGGAAACCAATCTCATCATTTTTTAGTGGATTTTTAGTTGGTTTTATGATAATTGCAGCTATTGCTTATATTATAACACAAATATATACGTCTGCTAAAGCTGATGAAAGTGTTGTTCATGAATGGATTAATTTTCCTGAATTAGAAAAATATCATGAAGACAAAATACCTATAGAAGATAAACATACAACTTTACATGTATGATTTGATTTTTCATTTTATTCATAGAAAGCAAAATAAAAAATTATTTTTTTTTAGACATGTGGAGAAATTATATTTGGTCGATATGATGCTGATCGTGATGATGATTATATTCGTTATCCAGTTGTTATTTGTCTTGATAATTATCATTTTACTATTCAATTACCAACAAGAGCTAAAGAAGAAGAAAATAAAGATAAAGAAATTAGATTTGTTGGACATCGAAAATATTTTATCAAAGGTAAAGAATAAAAATTTAAATTAAATTTTATTTTGTGAAATACGATCTAAGGAGTGTGTTTAAGTATACAGGTAAATATTTGCACACCCCTTTTTCCGACAGTAGTGATGTGCAAGGTAAACCTGTTTTTTGTACTTTGTAACGTGCTTAATCTTATCCTCCAAATCTCCACCCTACAGCCCGTGATAGACGCGAGTCAAAGACCGCATATCAATAATGTCGTGTTATAATAAATCATCTACTTCCTTATTACATTTCCAAAGGATTAAATAAACGAATGGTGAAGAAATGTGTCTTAAAATACATAGATTAAAATCATCTTCCTCTGATTAATAAGAGCAGCTACATTGTATTTCACATTTTTATGCCACAAGTATTGAGCTAATAGTTTTTTAGTATAGATGTGAAATCTGATAAATTTTTTTTTCTTTATCATACATTCAAGTTTTGAGAATTTAATTGGAGAAAAATGATGATATGTATAAGGGTAAAAATAGATTTGTACTTTTTGAGATTTTGTATGCATTAACCTTTTGAATACAATTACTTGACCGTCAAAAGAGATGAAGATTTTTTCGTTTTATTAAAATATAATCTTGATTTCCTTCTATCTACAAAATGAAATTTAAATATTAGCTCTTAATAATTTCTGGAATACAGCTATTTTACAATCGAGCGTTAGTTTTGAACTTTGAGATCTTTTTCCAAAAACAACTCATGACTCAGCTGGAAAAGATTATTTTCACTTCAAAATTGCACTGGATGCCCTAAAATGTCTTTTAATTATTGACACAAGGTATGAAGGTTAACTGGTATATGATTCAAGACATTCATTGAAAATGAACACACACTATTCAAACATATATAGGGAGAGAAACCAAGGATCGTCCATTCTATCATATCTTCTGCGATTAATTGTCGTCATAATTATATAAAAATATAATAATTAAAATGTAGAAGAGAAAATAATTCATAGGTTAAATATTGTCAAAAAGACTTCATATTCACTCAAACTCTAACTTATTTAATTTATTTTGCATCTTTTTCACTTGCTATATACTTGCAAGCAAAATAAATACCATATTTGACGGTTGTAACCCTCTTCGCCGAAAAGCATTTCGTCGAAAGACTCATAGGATGCTTTAGACTGTTGCAAGCCCTTTAATTCTTATATAGGCTTGTTCAGTATGAAGAGGTCAACTAATTTTGCCCTCGCCCGCATCTTTGGGGCACTCTCCGTGACCATAAAATACTTTCGACGAAGTATATTTCGGCGAAGAGCATATATACAAAATGGATATTCCAAAAGATAAAATTATTTAAATAATTTTTTTTTGTTCTTTAGAAGCCAATTTAATGCTTGTTCCTGAAGCAACAATGACTCGTATAAAATACTGGGTTAATGAATATCCAATTATAATACAAGATTTAAAATTATTAGACAAACAAATCTATAGTCAAGATTATTTCGAAAAATCAAAATTTGATACCGATGATTTTTTTAATAATTCTCAAACAATAATAAGTCTCTTTCTTGATACAGGACCTGAAAAAGAAAATTGGTTTCATAAGTAAATTATTTATTTCAATATTTCAGTTTATTTAAATCTCTATTTCAAAAAAATTTAGATTATCACTTGTAGTACGCAAAGGTAAACAAGAAATTGAACGAGCTAATCTTGCATTAATAGGTGCACCATCAGCACCTTCAGTTAATTCAACTGTAACTTCTCCAACACTAAATATGTTTGCACAAAGTATTCCTGATACACAAATTCCTGTATTAGGTACACGTGCAGCTGAAATGCAAGAAAATACAGTTAATCTTGAAGAACGTTTTCAAATGAAATCATCTGAAACAATTGGTCCACCGTACCCTGATACAACACCAACAGAAAAAGGTGATACAGAAGCACTTCGTAGTCAAATAAATGAAGCTGATATTCGTAGTGACATGGTACAAGCACGTATTACTGCACAAGAATTACGAAATGAAACACTGGAAAAAGAAAAAGATAAAGAAAAGGATAAAGAAAAAGACAAAGATAAAGATAAAAAAACGAATGATAAAGATTTAGATAAGGATTCAACAAGTTCACATCATACAGCATCATTAAAAAAGAAAGTTCGTAAACAAGAAGGAAATCTTGAACGTTTACTTGATTCACCTGGTTGTCTTGATGAAGCAGCAATAACATTAAATTTTATTGCACGTCGACTTTTTTGTGATATTTTTGAAGAACCATTATTTAAAGATTTAATGAAAGAAAAAATTGAACTTAAATTAAAAGAAATAGCTGTATGTGAAAATTTTTAATTTAAAGAAAAAAAAAGCATATTTATTTTTAGGTAACTGTATTTGAAGATCTTCATGTTGAAACAATTGATTTAGGAAAAACATTTCCTGTTATACTTAAAGTTGAACCAATGCAATGGAATGCCAAAGGAATTTGGATTAATTTATTTCTTTTTTATCGAGGCAGTTTTAAGTAAGTTTCCATATAAGTTGCGTTATCATTTCTTCGAGAAACATTGATAAAAAAATTTTCTCACAGGAATTCAAAATAAGGCTAACTCCTAGATAAAATCACACTTTAGCTATGACTTTTTTTTCTATACGTCCAAAATCGAATTCAATTACTGAAGGATTAAAAAAAAATTGTTCACGTAATGAATTTGTTATATATGCATCGGGGCGCATGGGTGCTTTGCACTCTGTGAAGAGACACTGTGTACAAAGTAAAGTCTATCTTTAATTTATTTTTGATACTACTGAAAAGTACGTAGATCTAGGCGGACCAGGAAAGTTTGGAAGTTTTTTTATCGCTTTCGACCGAAATGATAAACCGAATGGATTTGGCCTTTTGTATAAAGAGTGAAGTTAAGAGTATCCTCCCTTCTTTTTTGGCTATTTCTGATTCTTAAAGATGGTAAAACGAATCCGTATGAAATTTTGACCACAGATACTCGAAATGATTCTTCAGAGGTGAAATCGATCCATTTTCGTTTTTGACCTTCCTATTTGAATTTATAAAGCCACGACACCAGCACCTCGATTTTGAATTTGAATCTTTATGTATTTCTCTCATAAAAAACAAGAATAATAGATTTTTGAAAAAGCTTAAAATTATCCCTGAGATACAGTCTAAGGTATCTTCAAAAAATATTCAGTCCTATAGGACAAAGTTAGACAATAGTCTTAAACGAGCTCAATATGGTCTCATGGAAAACCAGAGTTTTTTCGTATAAAAACTCCGGAAACATTGTTTTCAATTGTTTTCCTCAAACATATGTCTCCTTATTTTAGGTGCTCTATCTATGATAAAAATTTCATGCGGATCGATTGTACTCTCTTCGAGAACCAGATTTGACTCAAAAGAGGAGTACGCTTAAATGTTGACTATTAGACTATATTGTTCTATTGTTGTACAACTGCAAAGAAATAAAAAAAAACAAATGTTTAAATTTTAATAAAAATGATGTCTTACAGATTGTTCAAAATTCCACATCTTAACTTGCCTCTGAACCCTTATAGGATTTTCTTAATCTCATGGAATTCTCTTCGTTATCAAACGATGCAATATACTAGTCTTTAACAGCTGTAGATATATTCCTGTGAGTTTTCTGCGGAGACCAGCTTGCATATCGATGATTTTGCGCGACAAATTTGATTTGACATATTCTATTATCGAACGATCGAATTATTCTCGTATTATCTAAACGCGATTTATTACACTGATTAATTCCTTTTGACATGCATATTTTTTATAATCTTTATTAACAATAATGACTAATAAATGAGATAGATGAAGTTCATTGAACACAAAAAAATCTATATTTATTTTTTTAGGATTACAATAAAAACTCGTCTATGCCTTCAACCATTACTCAATTATAATCCTGATTATGATCAGCCAATGTATGCACAACATCATTCAGCTCAAAATGTTCATGGAGAAGAAAAAAAACTTGATGATGATGATCTTCTTCAAAGACAAAAATTATTAGCTAAAGAACCAGAAATACCTGAAAAGTTTGTTAATATTATTTTAATTAAAAATTTATATAACTATATACATATGTATTATAATTTAGTGCTGCATCACGTAAATTAGGTACTTTATTAACAAAAGTTGCTGCAAACAAACATTTTCAACGATTTGCGGCTTTAAAACCAGTTGCTGGTGTTATTGAAAAATTATCTAATGCTGAAATTGGTGCAAATGTTGAATTAACTAGTTTTAGTGGTATTATGACTGTAAGTTTAAAAATATCTTTTGATTTTTTTTAAATTTTATATAATAAAATATTGAATTTTTCATTGTTCATTCTTAAACATTTAGATTAACATTCCACCACCACCAAGTGATCGTTTATGGTAATTAAAAACAATTCCTTTTTTTTTGTTTCCTATAAAATTCTCAACAAGAATTTTTTTCTCTCTCTATAGGATTGGTTTTCCAGAAATGCCTGATCTTAGTCTTAAAGTAACACCTGTAGTTGGTGAAAGTATATATTCATATTCATTAATTCATGATTTTCTCGAAGCACGTATTCGTGACGAACTTAAAGTAAGTTTTATAAAGAGAAGAAAGTGCAAGTTTGAAACCCTCAACACCTTTTAGTACTGAAAGTGCTGTAGTGCTCATACATATTTTAGATTAGACTGGAAATTAAGATGATAACGATGATTGAGATTCATAAATAGTATGATTCTTACTAGATATAGGCAACATGATCCCGGTCTGATTGGGACTAGTAACACGATCAACACTTTCTCATTAGAAGTAGTGATATCTTTTATCGTCGTGTACGACTTGCACCAAATATCATATTGTCAGGAGTCATATATTCCAAAAGTTTATGCAAAAATTATTGAGTAACGATCATTTTAATATTTGCTATTACAAATATTGATAATAAACTTGACCATTAATGAATCTCCAAGATGTCATGCAAAATGTCTCGAGCACATTGATGCTCCTAGAAAATGATATTCCATTTTTCGCTAGTACATGCATTGCTAAGCACGAAATCAAAAATGATTGGTCCCGCTCACTAATAACTCTCACTCATAGTTATCACTTCAATTTCCAGTCTATTGTCTGTTGAAAAAAATAATAGCCGTGGGTATTTTTGCAATAAGTCAAGAACGAAAAGAGCTATAGAGCTACGATTTTCACCAGTCGAATGAGGAGATATCAGGACCCTTTTTTTCTCCAATATTATATAAGACGAAATCATTTTAAAATCAATTATTTCTACAAAACCTTGCAAAAAATGCATGAAAACGATCTATTATTCCGATGAAATTTTAGTTTTGATATGTAATTTAGATAGAGGGCCTTCAGATCTATAGTTTAAGATATAATTCGAATGATTATGTTCACACATCCTAATGTTAAGCCAATAAAATTGTCTATCTATTTCCTCGACAAATATGGATTTCTCTTAATCTTTAAGTAAATTTTCTTAATTTTTGTCAAAATTTGATCTGAACAATAGATTATTTTTATACATTTTTTCAATGTTTTTGACTGGTGAAAACCACAGGTCTATAGCTCTTTCCATTCTTGAGTTATTACAAAAATACTCACGAGTCAGTATTATTTTTTTGAATAGACATTAGTTTCAAATATCTATGAGCATCGCAGCGCCTTCAGTGCCTGTCAGCATTTTTTCCTGCACCTTCTAGTAAAATATCGTGCTCAGACGCTGCACTTATTCACTTGAACCTTTTTAAATATGAAAATAAATATTTGATTTTTTTAAATTTATTTCTTTTAGCGTATGGTTGTACTTCCATCTATGGATGATCAATTATTATCATTCTTTCGTGATTGGGTTATTGATGTTATGTATGTAAAAACGAAAGACAACATTTTTTTTTATTATAATTTAATTTTTCTATTTTAGTGGTGAAATAGCATCAAAACCAGGAAATCCATTAATTAATAGTTATAAAAGTGAAACATCATTTCGAGATAAACTTCGAGAATATAAAGATATTAAAGAATTGAATCGTGCTGGTTCATCATTATCTGAACAAACAAAATCAGATCCAAAATTATCAGTACAAATGGATACAATAGAAATGTAATCAATGATAGTATAGAAGAATTTGAAAAAGAAACGATTTAATACTATTGTAAAAATAATCTTTCCTTATATACACATATTCGCGCACATGTTTTTTTTTTGTTTCTTTAGCTTCGTTTGTTTAATCGCGCTCATGTCATTCCTTTTTTTTTTGTTTTTTTGGTGTACATTTACTCTATCAACTTACCTGTATGTATTGTAATGTTAGAGAAAAAGTGAAGGTTTTTTTGATAGAGAAAACAAAGTTAAAGGTTTGAAAAAAAAAACCAGTAAAATTATACATGAAACGAACACATAAATTTCGTATTTAATTTTCTATGGTATGCAAACAATTATACAAGTAGAATTTTTTTTTCTTGAAAGTAGACAAATGATGAAAATGGATTTTGTCAAATGACTATTGGCATGCTAAACAAATGGTATGTTGATTAAACATTTATATTTGAAATAAATTATGTGTTAGTGAAGGTCGAAACCTTTTAAATAAATAAAAAAAATACTGTCTACTGTGAAATATATGTTTTCTTTGCGTATTATTATTAGATACTCATTCAAGAAATAAATAGGATATAATGACACATATCGTACATCATATACAAAATATGAAGGTAATTATAGATGAGTGACTACCTTATTCAAAAAAAAAAACAAACTAACTTTTACGTACGAAAAATCAGAGCTTTATTTAGTTGCCTTCATCACAACAAACTTGCAGTTTTATATTCGTCATAGAAATCAATAAACATAATATAATGAGTTTTTGTAATCAAAAATATATTGGAACTTTAAGAAAGTTCATCAATCTTGTATTTTTTTCATAGGAAAACAGATACTTCAATCCTTAAGAATTAAACGAGTGTGATATTCCAACTAGACTTCAAATCAGTTATTTTACATCAAACATAAAAATTTTTATGAAAATCATCTTGTCTACAATTAACAAGTACTGCTATGATGCCCAACATTTCAATCTCACTGATAGGGCCACTTGAAGCTTTTTTTCCAGTAAATAGACTAGCAGAATAGCAATTAGTCGTTGTCATTGAAATTGACCATGGAAATGTTCTATATGAAAAAGAAAAAGATTTCTCCTTCCATGACTATTTTCTAAAAGTGTTTCCACATGAGAAGAAAGAAACAATTTCATACTTCAATTGTCAATGTGAAGCGCATCATTAAATAACCTGTTATAAATGGTAAGAAAAGAAGAGTTGAATGATTTTTTTTTTTTTTTTTAATAGAACAAACTAAACATTAAATATCTTAGAAAAACTCGTCATTAAACAAATCAAAATATTCATCACGATAAAACTTATTAACAGAAAACAGTTTCAATAATTTTATTCTTCTGACATTTTGTGAAAAAAAAAGTCTAATTACATAAAATTTGTAAATTCAAATCACGCAAAAGAATATACAAGGTGCACTTAACACACAACACTTTTTTTTTTCATCAATGCACGAACGCATATTTACTACTTTTTTTTTTTTTTCTCGTGTCTTTATATTTGGCTTTTCAAGCTAGTAAATAATCGTTTTGCTTTATTTTTTTTTTTTGCCTCTCATATTTTCTTCGACATAATACATTAGCACCTGTAGCAACTATTGGTCAAAAGCATATGACACAAATCAATCTTGTAAGTATCATTATAAGAAATCGATGAATTGTAAAAAAAACAAGCACTTCTAATTGTGCGATCTTAAAAACAAAACTAATAAAAATGACAATCATATATAACATAATACACGAGACAGTCATAAATATTGCATTGTTATTGACTATATCTCTATATTGACATGATTGAGTATTAAATATCATTCTATATAGACATAGGTGAACAAATATTTCTTCATAAGAAGACATATAACAGAGCAGCATAAAACAAAAAAACAAGAAATGTATAGGAATTCTTTTTTTCTGCTTCTCATTTTTTTTTTTATAAAGAACAGAAAAAAATTTTTTTTTTATATATAAATCATATTTGCACCATCATATAAAATAAAGCATATAGTTGAATCAACTTCATATATAAATTGATTGTTAAATATATGAATTTTTTTTTAGATTTTTCTTTAATCGAAATGACTTATCGTTCAAAAATTTTACCACATAAATTCACAAAACAAGAACAAGAATTACGTATAATTACAAATCCACTTGAAGAAACTCGATTAAATTTACTTGATCAGGATGACTATCAAGCTCCATTAACTGCGCATACACTTGTACCAAATTCAAAATGGATTATAGTACGACATAATTTACATAAAATTCGTAGTTGGGGTGGAATTGATACATCTCAAGTTGATGAACGATTTCGTGACTGGTATATATTTCTTCAAATGAGACGTGAATTACGACGTGCACACGAAGATATTAGACAAATTGGAGATCGATCAGATTTTGTTCCTGTTCCTTATTTTAGATTACCTATTGATCCAATACATACTCGACGTTTCGATGTATCACATGTACAACCATCAGATGTATTGCATTATCCAAGTCTTGGTCGTGATCCTATCGTTTTACAATCATTGCTTTATTATTTTTCAAAAGAATGTGCCGTACCGTACGATAGTATATTTCGAGCATTTTTATCTAATATTTGTTTGATTTTATATCGAGATCGACAACGTATTCATCGAGTTGCTGTTTTGCGTAAAGTAGCATTAGTTATAGCAATAATTGTTTTTATTATTCTTGGTCTTATGCTAATTTCATTGATTGTTAGTGTATTAGGAACAACATCAAATTTAAAAGACATGTACAGAAATGATGTTGATGGAGGAATTGAATGGCGTGAATCTGCAACAACTATAGAGACAACCTTACATTTTTCATAATTTTATAATTTGTGACGATATCTTTTGAAATATATCGAAAAGAAATTGAAAATAATATGTATAAGATATATCGAAGGTAAAATGTCTATAGATAAATATTGAAAATGAATTCATAGACAAAATAAGTCAATACCAATAATAAAAGTACATATATAAGGTTTGCATAGAAATACTATACAATTAGAAAATATAAGATAAATATAGACGAAATCATTGAAGCGACAAAAAGCTTATTCAATCATAAATTTATTAAAATACTATATGAATAATATTATAAGTTTAGTTAAAACATAAAATATTTCAGAATTTGATAAGTTAATATGTTCTTGCGTTGTGTTTTCGTAAATAAGATACTATTCAATCAAAATATTGACTCTTATTTCTTTACGTTCAAAAAGAAAGTATAATCTACATATGTATATCAGTAATAATGTAAATTTTTATTCTTTTTATTCATCTGATTATAATTTCAGGTAATTTATGCTGTACATCCATTTTATTATACAACATGGATTAGTAAATCGATTAAAGATGTATATTGTTCAGGTGAATCAAATTTCGATGTGTCTTTTTCAAAGCAAAAAAAAACAATCTTTCGTATATAGTTTATTATTTTATGTAAGAATTGTAAATATTTGATAAAAAAACTGTTTGACTGTTATTCTTTTTTTCATTTCCTGTTCTACAACTAAGAGCTGGTTTCTTGATAAACATTTGTTGGATCAAAATCAACTATCATGAAACTCATGTAGTGATTCTATTTTTTCAAAATAAAGAATGTGAACGTAAATCCTACGAACTTTATTATATTGACATCTAAAATTATTAGATTTCTTTTTATAGTAAAATATTCAAACAGGCTTTTATAAAACAATATTACAGAATTTAATCAATATAAAAACTATAAAATACAAAAACAAAACTAGTTTCATCAATAGATAAACTTACAGATAGTTTAAAAAATATTCAGATACTTATTAGTTCTTTCTTTATATTTTTCTTTTTTATGTAATACGAGTACAAATATTAAAATGTCTTATTAGACATAGAACAAACACATTCTCCCTTCAGCATTTGATAGCCATCAATTTGTACTCTATTATATATGAAAATCAAGGCTAGGATCGTTTGTGAAGAAGAGCAAATAAAATTCTTTAACATTATTATACAAATTAACCAATAGAAAAAAAAATTCAAGCAAGTATCGGAATACTTTTTGGACTGTCTGTAAAATATTAAAAAAATTCAATAGATATAATTCTTTTATGGAAAATTATATATTGGATAAATTTAAAGTAGATCATTCACTTCAAAATGAACTTTGTATAAAAGCGATCGAACGTTTAGACTACAGAACACAACATAACCTATATAGATATCGTAAGTGCATGAATTATATTCATCATCCTATTGATCAAGAGCAAATATATTATGTGTCTTTGAAAAATAAATTATATAGTGAAGCATTATTGAAAGAAGGAGAGAATAAAGAAAATTGAATTCAATTACTATAACTGTGATCACAAGATGAAGCATACAAAATCGAATCTTGATTATAGTGAGTCATCTATAAACGCAAGAGAACGAGTTTCATTAAAATGAATAAGATGAAGTTGAAATATTGGGTATCCGTAAGCAGCTACGCTCGAATGAATATGAAAATAAGAGAAAAACGGGTGTATGTAAAAGTGCATGTCGATTTATTTTCGTCTCCTATTAATCATTCCAATCGAAATCCAAGTTGTTTGTCAAATGAGTTCGATATATTTCTGCAAAAAACAAAATTTAGAATTCTTGTTCATTATTCACATTCACTTTAACAGATTTTTTTTATATTGATATTTAGTTGTCTTAGTTATTTTTGTCTTCGATTTAAGTTTGTATTGAAAACACTTTTCTATCATACCAAACTTATGATTAATCAAAATTTATAAATAATAATTATATTTAATTAGAAAATGATGTATAAGAAATTATTTGAAACATATTTGATAATCATTTCAAATAAATATCTTTCAAATTTTTTACTTGATATATTAGTATCCAATAGCTTTTAATGTATTGATTTCAATTCATTTATCGATTGAGACAGTATGCATTTATCATTCTTTTGTTCATGATTTCTTAATCACATTGTAAAAAAAAGCACTTCAATTAATGACAATAAAATATAAATAGAACTATTTTTCTTGTCGTAAAATTTTCTCTATGCTTTTCATGACTTATTACAAAACAACATGCTCAAGTTTATAGAAAAGAATGGAGAAAAAAAAAAGGATACTATTGTACTGTCAAAGCAATTTTTATTACACACATCCATTTCTCTTGTTTGATAAACTATTTATGCACATCGTAAATAACATTTCTCACTCTTTTTTTTTCTCTTTTATGTTACTTTTTTTCTTTCTACGTGATGTTTAACACTATGGCATGCAAAGATTCGTCTGTCTGATAAATATATGAAGACAAACGGAGTATGCCCTGAGCAATATCACATGTGACTCTTCAATATTTGACATATTTTGTATTTTAGCTTTTTTTTTTTTCTCTTAACTTACCTTTTCTTAATATAATATACTTTATAATATAAAACCTTGTCATTTGCTGTCGTCAACCGCCGATCAATACTTTAGTCTAGATAGGTAAGAAAAGAAAAGAAGTCAAGCTATTTCATACTACTACCTCCTCATGTATTAGATAGGTTTTTTTTTACAAATCATCCGAATAAGCAATATTATTTTGATCCTTGTAATAATATTGACTTTTTTCCTCATCATTGTATAATCCAATCAAAACAACAATTATTAGTTGGTATTGCCATTTGTTTAGTATATACTTAATCGAAATTCAACATAACAAAGAAGATTAATTTGTTGACAAACTAGTAAGCTGACATGTATCTTGTTTCTAAGAGCTAATCACATTGTGATTTGAGCTCTTAAGATATAAATTAATAATTCATTTTTAGTATATCAATACTTCTAATCATTTTTATTTAATTATGATAGTTCTGTGAATTTGAAATCTTGATTGAAATATATCTTCATTTTACTTGTCTTTCATCATCTATCCTCTTTCAACATACACATAATATATGATATTCACAAGGACTATGTAAATTATAAATATATATCCATATTATTATTTATAGGTACAATAATTATAAATATAGTTTAAATGGCTCAATCAATTCGCACACGACTTCTACGCATGCCGAAAAGAGAACAAGAAATTCATGTAATTACACATCAACCTGATCCAAATGAGTCTTCAATAAGTACTCCACTTATGTCTCCTTCAAATTCTAAAGGTTCACCAAAACAGCTCAGCAGTAGTCGTCAACGTCTTGTAGAACCTGATTATGTACCACCACCGACAGCAAAATTCCTTCGTCCTAATTCTCCTTGGTTAACTGTACGCCGTAATTTACATCGTATACGACATATGGGTTATGGTGAAGATAATGCAATGCAAAACCTTTATTTAGGTCTACAAATGAAACGTGAACTTAAACGTGCTCAAGAGGAAATAAAAAATATTGATAAACAAGAAAATTTTCATCCTGTTAAACAATTTACTTTAGCTATTGATGGCAAAAGTGGAAAAAAATATAATACAAGTCATGTTAAACCAGATGATGCACTTATATATGATCGTCTTGGTGAAGAACCATTAGCATTACAAAATTTACTTTACTATTTTAGTAAACAAGAAGTACCACCTGGTACAGTTTTTTGGGAATTTTTAAATGAAGTTAATCATGTATTAAACATGAAAAGAAAGCGAACTGTTCGTATCCAAAGATTAAGAAGATTAGCATTAACATTAGCTGTTGTTTTTTATTCTATTATTGGGTTTATGCTTTTTTTATTAATTATCAGTGTTATTACAACAGCAACAAAAATGAACGACCCAGAAGTTCAATGGCTAGCACCGAGTGTTAATAAAGGTTCATCAAATATATTATTATGATTATCGATAAAATAAAACACATTGTTTTTTTATTCTTTAATTTATTAAATCCAAAAGCAATTTTAATTTATATTTTTGTTTATTTTCTTTTTTTCATATTTTGTAAAAAGTCAATTGTTAGTATTTATGTTTTTGTAATTTATTATTCTTCACTTCATCTTATACATAACAATTAATTTATAATCCATAAGAGTTTCAGGCATATTTTATATGACATAGTTTTGGATATTTACTCATATCGTCTTAATCATCATTTTAGCAAAACTTCATATTATTTTAAACTTAATACAATAACTAATGGATTGTAAGATTTTTAAATAATTGAAATTATATTTGTAAAGAATAAAATTCAAGTGATTATCGATATTATATCTACTAATCTTGTTCGTATTATGCTTGATTGTATGTTAGTATTTGTTTGAATATTGACGACTTAGTATATACTATATAAAAAAAATTTATATTATATATTTATTCATTGTGAAGCATATTCTTCAAAATTTTCTCCTTCATTTATTTTAGAAACATAATTGAAATTCTTCATACTGTGAGCGAGAAGAAATAGAAAATTTCAAGATTTTTAAAAATTCTACGAAATCGACGGTAATATATTATTATTTATTTGTTTTGATTTATACGATAAAGTTGATAACAGGCATATTTATTAGCAAAAAAAAACAACGGTTCGTTTGGGAAGTGAGTTTGTTGGTTTACTCATTATGAAAACGTCGCAAAAACACTATCATAACGATCGTTTTTCACCTCATTCATCCTCAGAGATTGCAAGGTCGTACATTCTTCAATGTCATTATCGACACCTTTTGAAGTAACATTATTTCATGCACATTTATTGAAATAAATAGTTAATTACACGGTATCAAAAATAAAAAATTTTCAAGTCTTCAACCATGGCAGTCATATACATTTGAATATATCGAAATTCTACTAAACATATGTAATTGCACGATCAATCTGAATCAATATTTTATCTAGATTGTCTTCTTTTGAAGAAGCAATTTTAAAGTTCCCGGAGGGTGAATATCTATTTCTGGGAGCACAGATTAACGGTCAGCAGTTCCAAAAATTATCCGGAACCGGAACTACGGTTCCCGCTACTAAAAAGTGAAAAAAAAAACGACTTCGATTCCACTCCCAAAATATCACCTAGAAGCGAAACCGTTAAATCATTAGATAGATACGAAAATTTTAAATATATATTCGGTAAAAAAAAGTCTTTCCGTCTCTCTCATTCGTTTCGTATAGAACCTCATTGGTCTCAAGTGAATGTGAGTTAAAATGATGATTTAAGTTCTTTATTTATAGTGTAGCGTATGATTGATGACAATTTGTTTTAATGAAGAATATACGTTTTTCAATACAGTTGAACAATATTACAAATGAGAATTGGTTCGCAGAGTGTTTCACGACTGAGCGATCTCTTTTTTTTTATACATCTGCTGACCGTTTTACTAGTTTGGATCATTAAGCTCTCTTCGTTGTCGACTCACAGCTCTTCCGAGAATTCAATACAAGCGATTATACAAATACAAATAAAGTAAAACATTCAGAAAATATTTAAATAAAAAGAGATAATCTAGTCATGAAATATTCTATCAACCAACTCCTTGGTAGTATTAGTCGATTATATTGAATGACGTACATTCTTCATTGAATCAGGCCGTAATCATTCATATACTACACTAAAATACAATATTTAAGCCATTCTTGTAACTAGCATTCATTTGAGACTTTGATACGAAAAGAGTAAGCAGGAAGGGATGGGAAAGACTTTTGTCCATGAGTGTATTTTTGAGAAGTTTTCACTATTAAATTGTTAAGATTAAAAACATCACATATTTCAGTACTTAAACAAAATTATATTATATATATATATTGAAATCTTTAATCTCAAAAACGGAAAAATGAAGATTTTTCGACATAGATTTAAGAATTTTTGTATCTATCTGATGATTTATCGGTTCTGTTTTAATTTTTTGGAAGCGCCAAAACCTAGTATGTAATACAATAACAATAAACTCCAAAAGAGCTAGCCCAACCTTCGAAAAGGCGCACACTTTAGGCCATATTTGGAATCGAACCAGTCGGTCTGCAAGTTATCCATCCAGGTCGATTTTCATCGTTTTTGTTTATAGATTTTTTGAGGTACTAAAGCTGATCTATTTTTCTCGTTTTTAAATATTTCCATGATTTTAATGATCAAAAGATATGAGCCTGAAAGTTTCCAACTGACAAATTTCCAGTTGTCGTCAGAATCTCAGCTCTAAATGTTGAACTATCACTTTCTCATTATACAAATGAGAACTTCAGATCATGCTGAATGAATTTATTATATTCCTGAAAGGTTAACCCGGTATTATAAGTTTATTTCGATATAAACTAAAGATTTTTCACCTCAAAATCGCGGATCTAATTTTTTAATCTCCTCCCATACGATCTCAATAGTTAGTGGTTTTTAGTTCATGCTTTCATTAAAAAATATCAGAAGAGATTCCCCTTCTATTGTCACGATCTTGCCAAATATTAGCATCATGTAATTATGAAAATATTTCGATATTGAAAAACCATAAATTAGAAAATCTAACATAAAAACCGTACGTTTCAGTCTATCTTACCTTTCTGTCAGCAATAATATCCTATTACAAAGTGAGATATACCTTTCAACTATGTTAAATAATCATTTCAAACAACAATAGATCAAACTTCTCAATTGTAAAGAAACCATATCATTATTGAAAAAAGTCAGACAAAACATAGTATAGATGTTAGTTGCTATGAGTTACCAGATGAAACTATGTCTTCATAGATTGTTTCACAAAAGAACCGATTGCTAAATTGATATATTAAACGTATCGGTTTTTTACCGATTAAGTCAACAATTTCAACTGGTCGATTCGGTTCGGTCGGAAAAAAAATTGACTGATTCTAAGCATGCTTTAAGCCACATCATGTTGGACAAAACACTGGTAGCTCTAGTTTTAAGAGAATAAGAGAGAAACAATGACTATAAAAATTATTGTTATGATGAATAAATCAAATAAAACATCTAACAATCTGAATTCATTTTCTTTGCAAGAATCAATGAATAGTTCATTGGAGCTTTGTAGGAGATGCCGTTTTGATTAATATTTTCTTATTATAGAATTTACAAAGCTTAAAAAATCCGGTTAGATATTTCAATATTAATGAAAACCAATCAAATAAGTCTATCAAGATAAAAATATTTATGTCAAATATTTGCACGCACAAAAGATACAAATTATTGCATTCTAACGAATAATATTTCCAATAGATGTCTCCAGAAATCATCATTTTATCGTCTTGTTTTCTGATTTGTTTGCAAATAACTAGAAAAGAAAAAAAAATATATATTGCACTTATTCACTTATGACTCACAATTTTTGTTCCATTTCGTGTTTTTTCTATTTCAAAGTTTCAACAAGTTCACAAGATATATTTTGATGCAATAACTTGCAATACTCTCCTTCATATATTCACATCCACGTCATATCTTCATTTAGATATTAATATTTTTTATTACGAAAAAATGTCAAAACGCGGTACACAAAGAACTCGTGGAAATTTAAAAGTATGTTTACTTCCTTTATTCATGTATTATTTATTTTGAAAACTTGGTTTTTTTTCAGCCAACAAGTAGCACAAAAGCTACTGCTACTTTTTTAACTCATGGGATATCTCCATTGGCATTTTTTTCTGGTATATTTTTATGAATAAAAATCTAAAAACAAAAAAAAAACAATTAAAATTTTGTTTTTAAATAGGCGAATTATCTATATCAAATGGAGTCGATGAAAATAATATTGACAATGATATAGATTCTGATTTACGTGTTATATTACGTAAATTAACTAAAAAAGATTCAACAACAAAAATTCGAGTAAAAAAATGGAAAAAAAAATTATTCAAATATCAATTCTTTTTTTTTCCAAAGGCTTTTAATGAATTACGTGATTATTGTGATGCTAATGAATCTGATGATAAAATTCGAGTTATTCTTCCATTTTTTGTTTCACATTATCGTAAATGGTCAACGGTAAAATTTGAAATCAATCGTTTTTTGTTTTTTTATTTATAAAAAAATATAATTCTTCGTAGGATTCTGATCAACGTGTTCGTGATGAATGTCAATCAACATTTGATACAATAGGTATGCGTATGAAAAAAAATTTATCACCACATTTAAAAACTATCTTACCAATATGGTTAATGGCACAATGTGATTCATATGCACCAGCAGCATCAAAAGCTAAATTTCTTTATACTAAATTATTTAATGGACAAAATAAACAAGCTGAAGCTGTTTATTTTGCAAGAAATGAAATAATGTCAACATTAACCGATGAAATAAATCAATGTTCAGACGTTCTTAAAGACAGGTAAAGATTAAAAAAATTTAGATAAAATTATACAGAATGAGAAGTTTCGATTTTTAGAAAAGAAAATGAAATGGAAACAGACGATGCGCATGAAAGACGTCTAACACAAGTTCTTCTAGCTCTTGCATTATTTCTTAACTATCTTGAAGCTAATAAACGTTCAGACTTAACAAATCATTTTAAGATTATATTTGATTCTGGAAAATTTTGGAAATTAGATAAAATAAAATCAATACAAGTAAATTTCTTTTATTATAAAAACAAAATAACACTTAAATGATGTTTTTTTTTATATTAGATTCAAAGTTCATTTTATCGTTGTCTTTATGAATTAATTAATTTAATACCTGATGTTATACAAGAATATAAAGCAAAAGTTATTCCACTTGCTTTCTATTCAATCAATGAAACAGAACCAAAATTATGTCCATTAATATGGGATTGTCTAATACTTTGTTTAGATACATTTGATGATTGTTGGTCATTAGTTAATTATCAAAAAGCATTTTTACCAAAATTATATGCTTTTCTTAGACATGCTTGTCATGGTAATGTATTTGGTGTTAAAGATTGTTTATTACCTTT